TATTTTCCGCCCAGGGGTAGATTCCTGTGAAAACACCTGGAGTTGTGTTTCGTTCCAGTCGCGAATGTTCGAGTAACGCTTTATTATTAGTCTGTCTGCGTCTCCGAAGCTCAAAATGCTCCGCTCCCCCTCGTGTAGTGGCACATTTTAGCTTTCGTTCAGTAGAAGATCGGCAGTTCCGGAGCTGAAATCATCCGAATGATTCTGGTGAAGGTGCGTGGAGTTTAAAAACACACGCATTCCTGAATCACCGCATGACATCCCAGGAGAAGAGTTTTCCTTTTGAGGGAAGAACTCGGCCTAAATCTGCAGCGTGTGTGTGAGTTTTAAACGTGTGTGAAATGCAGTGTTGGGAAGTTTACTTTTAAAATGTAATCCCCTACAGATTACAGATTACACACACCAAAATGTAGTTTGTAACGGAATCCATTAAATTACTTAAAGTGAGTAAAGTAATCTGAATACTTTGATGATACTTGATATTGTCGTGCTTTTTAAAACGACGTGAATGTAACGACCGCATCCTGAAAATTCTTGTTTGTTCAGTTTTTACTTGACCAGATTAAAAATATTATTGATAGAGAAATTAGTTTTTATATGAGATCAGAATTATGTCCACCTGCTGTTTGTGTCATATTGTTTAGACCTGGTTTAGTCCTGGTTTAGTCCTGGTTTAGTCCTGGTTTTAGTTTTGGTTTTAGTCCTGGTTTTAGTTCCTGGTTTAGTCCTGGTTTAGTCCTGGTTTTTAGTCCTGGTTTTTTTTAGTTTTTAGTCCTTTGTTCCTGGTTTAGTCCTGGTTTTAGTCCTAGTTTTAGTCCTGGTTTAGTTCTGGTTTTAGTCCTGGTTTTCGTCCTAGTTTAGTTCTGGTTTAGTCCTGGTTAGTTTTAGTTTTAGTCCTGGTTTAGTCCTGGTTTTAGTCCTGGTTTAGTCCTAGTTTTTAGTCCTAGTTTAGTCCTGGTTTAGTCCTGTTTAGTCCTGTTTTAGTCCTGGTTTTAGTCCTGGTTTTAGTCCTGGTTTAGTCCTGGTTTTAGTCCTGGTTTTAGTCCTTTAGTCCTTTTAGTCCTGGTTTAGTTTTAGTCCTAGTTAGTTTAGTCCTGGTTTAGTCCTGGTTTAGTCCTAGTTTTAGTCCTGGGTTTAGTCCTAGTTTAGTCCTGGTTTAGTCCTGGTTTAGTCCTGGTTTTAGTCCTGGTTTAGTCCTGGTTTTAGTTTTGGTTTTAGTCCTAGTTTTAGTTTTGGTTTTAGTCCTGGTTTTAGTTCTGGCTTTAGTCCTAGTTTAGTCCTGGTTTAGTCCTGGTTTTAGTCCTGTTTTAGTCCTAGTTTAGTCCTGGTTTTTAGTCCTAGTTTAGTCCTGGTTAGTCCTGGTTTTAGTCCTGGTTTTTAGTCCTAGTTTAGTTTTTAGGTTTTAGTCCTGGTTTAGTCCTAGTTTGGTTTAGTCCTAGTTTAGTCCTGGTTTTAGTCCTGGTTTTAGTCCTAGTCCTTTTAGTCCTGGTTTAGTCCTGGTTTAGTCCTGGTTTAGTCCTTAGTCCTGTTTTAGTCCTGGTTTAGTCCTAGTTTAGTCCTGGTTTAGTCCTGGTTTGTTTAGTTTAGTCCTGGTCCTAGTTTAGTCCTGGTTTTAGTCCTAGTCCTGGTTTAGTCCTGGGTTTAGTCCTAGTTTAGTCCTAGTTTTAGTCCTGGTTTAGTCCTGGTTTAGTCCTGGTTTTAGTCCTGGTTTAGTCCTGGTTTTAGTCCTGGTTTTAGTCCTGGTTTTNAAACCAGGACTAAACCAGAACTGAATCAGGACTCACAGTCGGGACGGGCTCGGAGGTGACTCCAGGAGAAAAGTCAGGTGTTCCAGCGCAGAGATCTACCCGGCACTACACGCCCACGTAGCCCGTAAAATTCTAGAACGTTAAAACTAGGGATGACATGATTAATCGATAATTGATCATTAAGAATTTCATCGATTACGTTCATTTTAATCGACAAACTGAATGTATGTTTCTGTGTGTATCGTGACTAAACAGGTGTGTACATGTGTCTCTGCATCAGAAGGAGCGAGACACAAACAGTGGGTCAGTCTGTAACGAACCGAAGCACAAATGTGGATTTAACGATGATTTGTACAAGAAATTCCACACTTTCCGTTGCGTTGGGGACAAGTGTGAGTCCATGTGCACAGTGTATAAAGCAGCACATATGTTTCTGTGTCCAGTGGGAAAAAGTTTTACCAGGTGAGAGTCGCTCAATGTGGATGACGAGGCCCCGCCCCCCTCCCCCCGTACGCTGTCCTGGTTTTGACAAACGCAAATCTGGTCACACTGACCTGTATTCACCTGAGTCATGTCTTTTAATCCGACAGAAGTTGAACCACATCAGCGACACAAGAGCTGGAGTTTTATCTTCACTTAGTTTATGCAAATTAGCGATACAGTTTTAAGTTTTGTTTCTGTGAGATTTGAACAAAACTGAATTAAACACATTATAATGTCAAACGGGCTGATGTGGCTCTAGAGTCGTTACGGTTTATATGTCGTAAAGTTGAATTTATTTATGCAGATTAGTAGTGCAGATAGTAATAATAATGATGATCATTTTAATATAAAAACGTTAATGATTAATCGATAATCGTTCGTTAATTGTTCCGACGATCTATTAAGAAAATTTCATTGAATGCCCATCCCTAGTTGTTACTTCCTCAAAAACAGACCTGGAGGTTGTCAGATGAAAAGAAAAGGTAGAGCGCTTCACCGGGTCATAAAAAAGTTTTTTTTTAAATCACAGTGCAGATGCTCTACGAGGGTTAAATTTGAGATCTCAGCAGAATGTGGCGCTTATTATAAAATGTAAAAATGGGCACAGAACAAACCCGAGGCACCGACCGAATATATTAAAAATCCTTTATTACGTGGACGGACGCCAACTGGTTTCGACCGGCTGCATGGTCTGATGCCCCGACGACGACACAAATCTTTTAATATATTCTGTCGTTGTGCCTCGGGTTTGTCTCTTGCCCATTTTTATATTTTCCGCCCTGAGGGGTAGATTCCTGTGAAAATACCTGGAGTTGTGTTTCGTTCCAGTCGCGAATGTTCGAGTAACGCTTTATTATTAGTCTGTCTGCGTCTCCGAAGCTCAAAATGCTCCGCTCCCCCTCGTGTAGTGGCACATTTTAGCTTTCGTTCAGTAGAAGATCGGCAATTCCGGAGCTGAAATCATCCGAATGATTCTGGTGAAGGTGCGTGGAGTTTAAAAACACACGCATTCCTGAATCACCGCATGACATCCCAGGAGAAGAGTTTTCCTTTTGAGGGAAGAACTCGGCCTAAATCTGCAGCGTGTGTGTGAGTTTAAACGTGTGTGAAATGCAGTGTTGGGAAGTTTACTTTTAAAATGTAATCCCCTACAGATTACAGATTACACACCCCTTAAAGTGAGTAAAGTAATCTGAATACTTTGATGATACTTGATATTGTCGTGCTTTTTAAAACGACGTGAATGTAACGACCGCATCCTGAAAATTCTTGTTTGTTCAGTTTTTACTTGACCAGATTAAAAATATTATTGATAGAGAAATTAGTTTTTATATGAGATCAGAATTATGTCCACCTGCTGTTTGTGTCATATTGTTTAGACCTGGTTTAGTCCTGGTTTAGTCCTGGTTTAGTCCTGGTTTAGTCTTGTTTAGTCCTGGTTTTAGTTTTGGTTTTAGTCCTGGTTTTAGTCCTGGTTTAGTCTTGCTTCAGTCCTGGTTTTAGTTTTGGTTTTAGTCCTGGTTTTAGTCCTGGTTCAGTCCTGGTTTTTAGTTTAGTCCTGGTTTTAGGTTTAGTCCTGGTTTAGTCCTGGTTTAGTCCTAGTTTAGTCCTAGTTTAGTCCTGGTTTAGTCCTGGTTTTAGTCCTGGTTTTAGTCCTGGTTAGTCCTGGTTTTAGTTTTCCTGGTTTAGTCCTGGTTTTAGTTCTGGCTTTAGTCCTGTTTTAGTCCTAGTTTAGTCCTGGTTCAGTCCTGGTTTTAGTCCTGCTTTTAGTCCTAGTTTAGTCCTGGTTTAGTCCTGGTTTTAGTCCTGGTTTTAGTCCTGGTTCAGTCCTGGTTTTAGTTCTGGTTTTAGTCCTGGTTTTAGTCCTGGTTTAGTCCTAGTTTAGTCCTAGTTTAGTCCTGGTTTAGTCCTGGTTTAGTCCTAGTTTAGTCCTGGTTTAGTCCTGGTTTTAGTCCTGGTTTAGTCCTGGTTTAGTCCTGGTTTTAGTCTGGTTTAGTCCTGGTTTTAGTTTTGGTTTTAGTCCTGGTTTTAGTTCTTTTAGTCCTAGTTTAGTCCTGGTTTAGTCCTGGTTTTAGTCCTGGTTTTAGTCCTAGTTTAGTCCTGGTTTAGTCCTGGTTTAGTCCTAGTTTTAGTCCTGGTTTAGTCCTGGTTTAGTCCTAGTTTAGTTCTGGTTTTAGTCCTGGTTTTAGTCCTAGTTTAGTCCTGGTTTAGTCCTGGTTTTAGTCCTGGTTTAGTCCTAGTTTAGTCCTGGTTTAGTCCTGGTTTAGTCCTGGTTTAGTCCTGGTTAGTTCTGGTTTAGTCCTGGTTTATTAGTTTAGTTGGTTTTAGTCCTGGTTTAGTCCTAGTTTAGTCCTGGTTTAGTCCTAGTTTAGTCCTAGTTTTAGTCCTGGTTTTTAGTCCTGGTTTAGTCCTGTTTTAGTCCTGGTTTAGTCCTGGTTTAGTCCTGGTTTTAGTCCTGGTTTAGCCCAAAATGTGAAAACAGGAAAATCCCTCTGTGTAATCCATTTATTTCAACAAAGTAACTGTAATCCAATCACCACTCACTGAAACAGTAACTGTAACTGAATACAGTTACTCATCATTTGTACTCTGATTACATTAACTCCGGTACATGTAATCTGTTACTCCCCGACACTGGTGAAATGAAACACAACACAAGTCCAGGTCTGTTTGTGGTGAGGAAACTGGATTATTACAGATTAAACTATGGGACGTCTGCAGTGTCGTGATGTTGTCTGGACCTGATCTGTTGTTGTTTTTTTCTTGCAGAGGTACTTCCTGCTGGAGAAGGGCATCATGAAGTACGCCAAACGGGAGGGAGACGTGAGTGCCACTCCTGAGCGCCCCCTGTCTGCAGTATCACACACACGTTACACTTCAACTGTGTCCCAATGTCCACACTGTTCCATAATTATTACTATTTATATATTATTTATTTATTTATTTAAAGGGCCACTAAACATAGGGCTGGTATCATTAAGAAGTTGTCGACACGATACATATCTTGATACGGCGCACTTTTGATTCGATATGATTAGTGCTGTCAGGCGATTAAAAAAATTGAGAGATTAATTAATTATGATCTGTAATTAATTAATCTCTTTTTAATCTCACCTAAAAATTGCTGAGAAAAACCTTCAACTTGAGGTATTTTCATTTAAATTCATTATTACATTATTATTATTACATATAAACCATGAACACTGTAGAGCCACATCAGCTCGTTTGACATTATAATGTGTTTAAAGGTTGTATAGAGGATTTTTTAAGGGAAGTGAAATACAGTGACAGTCCTTTTTCAAATGTTGTGCATGTGTGACACCACCGTCCTCCTCCACAGCCTCAGTAGAAACATCTAGAAATCACGCTTGTTTACATCCAGTGCGCGTTCAGAATTACTGTTGAAGTTTCCTGTCTAGAAATATTTTCGCGACCAACGCGTCACTTTTTAGACCCTTCGTCTGCTTCGTTCGCGCCGTCGCTGGAAGGAATCTCCAAGAATCACCTCAGTTTGGCTTCGCTCCTTTTCTCCTTCTCTTTTTCTTTCAGCGACCTCAAAAACGGACTTTCTTTTGCGGCGAACCGGTCGTGGATTCTCGTCCGCCGTCGCAACAAACTTTGTGCGAACTGCGAGGAAGCGACAGTTTAAAAAAGTCTCTAAGAACCGTCGCATAAACCACGTAATCCCCTCGCGCCGACGAGTCAGTTACACTAGAAATGTAGGGAGTTTGATTGACGACCTAACAGCCAATAGAAAATGAGGGAGCCTTGTTTTCTATTGGCTGATGTTTATCTGGCCTCAACACGTCCACAGTTGATAGATTTTCATTCTTTTTTTTTTTATCATCATAATTACAAGGCTGCTGTGTCTCTGTAATGGTATTTTAAACTTTCACTGACAATGTGAAACTGAACAAAAAAATCCTCCATACAACCTTTAATGCTGATTTGCGCAACTCTCACAGAAACGAAATTTAAAAACCGCATGGGCTAATTTGCATAAACTAAGCGAGAAAAAAATAAAAAAAAGCTCTTGTGTCGCTGATGCGGTTCAGCTTCTGTGGGACTGAAGGACACGACTCAGTGGAATATGAGTGTTGTTTCTGTGACAGTGTTGAAGGTGAAGGTGAGTCTGTTCTGTGTTTGTGTCGTGATGTTTTCAGACGTGTGCAGGTTTATCGCAGATGCGGCGAGAACGAGAAAGAAAATCACAATTGTTTGCGGGAGCGATGTGTTATTGTCCCAACAACACATAAAAACAGATTTTATAATAAGGCAACTCGCACAGAAACAGTAAAGTTAGAGATTAAAAATGAGATTAACACGATTAAAAAACATAACGCGCTAAATATGACTGTAATTAATTAATCGCAATTAAAGGTTGTATGGAGGATTTTTTTTTGTTTCAAACTGTCAGTGAAAGATTAAAATACCATTACAGAGACGCAGCAGCTTTGTAATTATGATGACCAAAAAAAAAAAGAACGAAAATCTATCAACTGTGGACGTAGTGAGGCCAGATAAACATCAGCCAATAGAAAACGAGGCTCCTCATTTTCTATTGGCTGTTAGGTTGTCAATCAAACTCCCTAGTATAACTGACTCGTCGGAGCGCGGGGATTACGTGGTTTACGCAGCGGTTCTTAGAGGCTTTTTCGAACTGTCGCTTCCTCGCATTTCGCACAAAGTTTGTCGCGATGTCGGACGAGAATCCACGACCGGTTCGCCGCAAAAGAAAGTCGGTTTTTGAGGTCGCTGAAAGAAGAAGAGAAGAGGAAAAGGAGCAAAGCCAAACTGAGGTGATTCTTGGAGATCTCGTCCAGCGATGGCGCGACCGAAGCAGACGAAGGGTCTAAAAACTGACGCGTCGGTCGCTGAATTACTTCTAGACAGGAAACTTCAACAGTAATTCTGAACGCGCACAAGGACTGTCGCTGTATTTCTCTTCCCTTAAAAAAATCCTCTATAAAACCTTTAAGTGTTGTTGTTTATTCCACAGATAAAGAAGGGAAAGCTCCATGGCTGCATCGACGTGGGCCTGTCCGTCATGTCCATCAAGAAGAAGGCCATGTGCATCGACCTGGACACGGAGGACAACATCTACCACCTCAAGGTAAAACAGCTCCTCTGGTGGACGGGAGGTCTCCTGTTGGTCTGAAAATGTTCCACAGTGTCGTATAAACCACATGGGAGAAGCAGACAAACAGAACATTTTCAGAAATATTTCAAATTCTTCTTAAGTGGTAAAAATCTCAAGTCAAAATCAAATCTCGAGTCTCGTTGCTTTAATTCGTAGTTGTGGAAAAAAGAAACAGCGGGAACTACATAGACCATGATCCTTTGCTCTGTTTCAATCCAATTTGCACCATGAAACAACTGTTATTAAGCACTTTTAAATCTTAACTCTCTGGTTTATGACAGAACTTTAGACTGTATTAAAAAGTGGACTGAGTGAGTGTGACGTCAGCCACAGCGTTCGGCTCCAGTCAAATGCAGCTCATCGAGGCCGGCGGTTATAGGAGCGAATTTGGAGTTCCGTTTTAAGAATAGTGATTTATTTACGGATAAAATAGTGAAATAAAAACCCCAGGATCATGTAGAGCGGGTTAATACAAACATGTTAAGACCAAAATGATGAGGCTCACTGCAGAAGTTACAGAAAGAGAGAGAAGTTACAGACTATTATGATTATTTTTGAACGTCTGCGCATTTTGTTTAAAAGAGACGACAATAAATGCACTGACAGTATGTTGAATGTTAAAAAACTATAATCCCAAACCATAAGGTGAGTGGAAAGAGTTAACATTTCATATTTAGCCCTAAGAGTAAAAGTCTGATCAATTCTACACATGTAGGTGCCGTAAAGTCATGGAAAATTCACTTTAAGTCATGGAAAAGTTTTGAAATTTTGTCAGTGAAAAAGAGTGGAAGCCTGTGGATAATTTCAGCCCTGGAATTTCCAATTTTTACTGAATAAAATGTAAAATTTAGCTGTGCAGACATGTGTGAATGAAGCAAAACACAGCCGTTTTGGATGAAGTAACAACATTCTAATAATTCTAATATAGGAACTTTAAATTAGTGATATGCCGATATTTTGGGCCAATATCTGGAGCTCTTAGCATATCAGTGATCAGTCTTAAAACTCCAGCTCAAGTCGATGTTTTGTCTTGGTATGGGACACATGTTTTTGTTGTTTTCGGCGCAAAAAAACAACAAAAATTAAAAGTGATCTGTGATTTTTAGGTGAAGTCCCCGGAGCTGTTCGAGGAGTGGGTGTCCAAGCTGCGTAACCACCGTGTCTTCAGGCAGAACGAGATCGCCACGTATCCGGAGAGACACCTGTTCCATCCTCACGCCTCCTCCTCGCCCTCCCTCAACGACTCCATCAGACGGGTAAGACTCCAGGGCGAACGGCGGAGAAGATCTAACCAAGCATTTGTGTTCTTAAAGAGCCACGAAACACCAAAATCACTTTTTTCTACTGATTATCTCGGTCCCACCTCTCATAGCTCAGCACCTGACATAATCCTCATGTGTTTTCTTTAATGTCTGTGTTTGTAGCGGGCCACTCTGACCAAACAGGCGTCCATCCACCAGGCCAAGGTCAGCTCCTGGCTCCACTCCTCCGAGGACATGGACAAATGCTGCAAAGGTCAGAGCGCTATCACTACTCAATAGGTTTCAGGGTTTCAGTCACGTGATCACGATGATGCGCGAATTTCAGGCGGAGGGCAGGAAGTGAAGACAAACACGACAAGCGCGGCTCTGGAGAACACAGATATGGAGAAGAGTTCTTATTGTCAGGATTTAGAGCCAGTAGCGAGGCAAAAGTACGAGCAGTTAGTCGACAAATATATTGGACGTGACCCCGATCTTATTGAAAATGACAGAATTTTCAGCTGAAGTAAAAGATTTGCCGACAATCGAGGCAGAGGAGATCACGAACTATTTAGCTCTTCAGACGTCGTTCTACACCAGACAACAGATGAAGGCAAAGTACAAAAGTTTGGAGGCATAGAACTTTTTTTGTCAGTGGATGGGTCCTCAACCTCGGTGCAAAACGCCTAAATGATGATTATCGTTTGGTCTTGGCCGGGGTGAGTGTTTCTCTTATTTTATGTGTATAGACGTTATGGGAAAAACTGCAGTGTATCGTAGGGTGACCAAACGTCCGTTTTTCCCCGGACATGTCCGTATTTTGCGTCATGTCCGGGGCGTCCAGGGTTTTTTTAATAAAGTGATGCAAATATCCGGGTTTTCAGTACCGTTCATTAAACTGAGCGTCTCTCGACACAAACAGTCTGTCAGTCTGCAACATGCCGAAACGCACATGCACATTTAACAATGACTTGTACAAGAAATTCTCCGTTTTCCGTCAAATTGCAAAATTGCACACAAAAAAAATCTGAGAAACAGTGAGCCCCCCCCCCCAAGGTGTCCGGGTTTTCCCAGACGGAAATATGGTCACCCTAGTGTATCGGCAGTAACCTCTATCCCAACTATTTAATGTAATGTAATGCAGACACAAGCGTTAGTGAATTCTGCTCCTCCCGACTGCAAACAGGTTTGTAATCCACTTTTTACGGCGTTGTTCTGTCGGCTTTTCCCATTTCTGACCTTTGTGGACGACTATATTCGGTACTCTAAAAAAATCGCTTTTCCTTCTCTCGGTTAGAACAATTGGCACAGCCGTAAACTACACAACACATCGGCATTTTCCTCCAGTCAGTTCACTTCCTGCCTCCATCTGATTTTGCTGACAAACGTAGCCCTGTGACGTCACGTGAAACCCGGATATTAAAACCACAGTTTGAACGACTCTGAATGGACACGATTACCAAATCCCCCAAGGCTGCAGTCTTTGAAGTGCAATAATTTCTTCCGAGTCACAAAATATTCGGTCTTATTTTGCATAAAAACTGCTAACCCTGATTACAGATCTATTGTGTCTCGTGCTCTGATGTCATGAAGCTGTCGTTTTCAAGTGAATCACTCTTTAGTTCAGTAGAAATTGGCAATTCCAGACCAAAAATTCTCCAAATGATTCTAATGAAGGCGTAAGGAGGTTAAAAACACACTGGAGCACTTCCTGTATCACCACATGACATCACGAGGTGGAAGTGTGTGTATTCTATGAGTCATACAGATACAAACGAATTACTGTTTAATTAGTGTTACTTTCTTCTATTTATTTGTTTATTGCAGCTCTTTTTAATTGTTCTGGTGAAGGGTCTGTCAGATGTTTTTCTCCGTGGAGATGTTATTTCTTTGGAATGTTTCACAGTGTGGCATTAAACCTTTCTGTCAAACCTGTGGAAGCCCTGAGCGGCAAGCAAAAAACAAAAACCAAAAGAGGCACGTCATTTAGGCTCCATTTTCCAAGTTTTTTTGTTTTTTGTTTTTGCACCAACAGCTCCCAATAAAAAAAAAAAAAAAATCTTGACACTTTTTTCGCCAACACTCAAAAAAAATCTTGCCTTTTTTTTTTTTTTTTTTTTGCACATTTTAAATTTTTTATTAAACACGAGTAGCATTACTATAAACTAATATACTGGAAAAACACTTAGGCTCTGGAGTGTTTGATTTTATATATATGTTTTGTTTTTTTTTTCATTGGCCCCATAAACATAAAATAAATTACTTTTTTTTTTTGGCTGTTGATGCAAAAAAACTAAAAAACAAAAAAAGGAAACAATTATATTTGAATTATTGGTAAAAGAAACAAAACAAAAAACAATAACACAAAAACAAACAAAAAAAACTATTATTTTTGAATTTTAAAAAAAGGCTATTTTTGGGGGAGGAGTTGTTGGTGCAAAAAAAAAAAAAAAAAAACTAAAAAAAAAAAACGTAGAAAATGTAGCTCAAATAACTTGTTTCTTTCTTTATTTTTCCCGCTTGCTGCTTTTTTATGCTTTTTTTTTTTTTCTTATGCTTGCCAGACCAAGTTACAGGTCAGATCTTTGTAGAGATGAATCCTACGTTTTTAGGTATTTTTGAGCTGTAAAACCACCTGTCATTGAATAAATGCAAGGTAGAGCTGTTTAATGTCACACTGTGGAACATTCCAGACAGAGCAATGACATCCCCATAGAAAAACAAGCAGGTGGCGAACCCTCCACCAGAAAAGTTACACAGTGCACCTTTAAACTAACTGTTAACCCTCAGCCCTGGTCTCTGTGTCCCTCAGACCTGGAGGAGGCGGAGAATTACCTGCTGGAGCTGAACCTGCTGCTGAAGAGCATGGAGGTCATGCACCGCACCTACTCCGCCCCGGCCATCACCGCACTACAGGTGAGTCCCACTCCGAGCTCACCGATGATGTGTCCTCGAGCAAGACACCTCACACACCTCGCCCCGTGCACTCATGTATGAAAGTGTGTAATGTTGTTTCCTGATCACAAACAGACCTGGAGTTGTGTTTTGTTTCATTCACACAAACCCTGCAGATTTATTTAGGCTTAGTTTGGTCTCTCAAACTGAAAACACTGTGTCCCACCTTGTAGAAGTGCTCCACTGTGTTTTTAAACTCCACACATCTTCACTAGAATCATTTACATCACAGGTGTCAAACATAAGGCCCGGGGGCCAGATCCGGCCCTCCAAGACCTTTAATGTGGCCCTTGGGTGATTTTCTACTAAAATATTTTAATTATATTTTCTATTAAAATATTGTTAATTTTCTGTGGTGTTTATCATATCATCTCCAGTGTCTCTGTACGTGGCCCCTCCCACCAGAGCAGCACAAATGAAGACTTGTCTCTTTCCAAACGCTCTTAAAGGACGATCGTTTTGACTGTTGACCGTGACACCCTCATCAGAAAAATGTCCAACATGAGAAAAGTGGAGCCGAGTGCAGGATTTTCCAAGAAAAATGTACTTATTCTTATTTGCATACAAGTTCATGTTAAAACATTGTGTTGAAATTGAATTTTTCTTAAAGTTTCAGGTTGTTCATAATATTATAATATTATAATAAGAAAGAGTTCATCAGTTTAAAAAGATTTCTGTAATAGATTTGTGTTTCTCTGCACAAATATTTGAAATTATTGTTATTTTTGGGGTTTATATGTCATGAGTTTTCTGATCCGGACACTTTGGGATCAAAGTAGGTTGGATACGGCCCCTGGACCAAAATGAGTTTGACACCCCTGTTTTACTTCATTTCAGTCCTGGAATTGCCCACCGAACTAAAGGTAAAAGAAGCTGTTAACTTCAAAACTACCACTTCATGACCTCACATGAAGCACCAGAGCATTTTGAGCTTTGGAGATGTAGACAGGCTAATAATAAAGAGTTACTCAGACATGTGTGCATGAAACAAAACACAATTTCAAGTCTGTTTTTGAGGAGGGATAAATGATATTTGATTTTATTCACTGTTCTTTTGATGTGTTGTTTGAATGATAGTTGTGGGTCCCAGATACTTCACTTCATGGACCATTTTCAGTTTTGTTCCAAGCACAAATACATGTGGGTCTGTTTCCATGCCAGTTTTTTTTTTGAGAAAAACATACTAACAGACTTTGATATATTAAGATGTAGTTATGAATGTTGTAGCCAGTTTGCTCCTCTGACATAACATTTGACAGATCGTGTGCAGCTTGCGGTTTGTTTTTAGAATGAACATACAAGTCTGCATCATCAGCGTACATTTGACAAATTACATTAGATGGACAAATTTGGGGCAAGTCATTAATATACATGCTAAACAGCAATGGACCCAGTATCGAGCCTTGAGGCACACCAAGATTATTTTGAGATGTTGGAGATTTTACATTATGCACTGAAACGCATTGCTTTCTCAAGGCCAGTATTGTGTTTATTGTGTAAGTATTGTGGGAAAGCTCATGATTAAGGATGTAACAATATCCAAATCTCTCGGTACGATATTTTCACGATGTCATCTTACGGTACGATGTTTATTGCGATATTTTATAGAGGCTTATAAAACTGTGAATATGTTTCTTTTTCCTCTTAAAATGCCTTGACGAGACTTAATCCAAAGAACTAAGACTTAAAAGTGTTCGAACTGTTATTTCTTCTTGTCGTCTGCACTGAAACGGAGCAAAGGATCATGGTCTATGTAGTTCCCTCTGTCATTTTTTTAGTTATTGCTGCACCATAACTCTTCATTTAAGAAAAGAGACTTGTAATTCGATACATTGTGATGGTTCGTGATATTACTGTGAGAATTTTGACGATACGATATCACGATATTTTGGTTATTTTTTACATCCCTACTAACTAATGCTGTAACTTCATGTGAACCGCACAGACAGCGGACTCATAAACAAATAATCCGTCCATATATCACCGTTGTTTTAAGCTGCAGGGTTCAAAGTGTGAGAAAAAGTTTGCAGCTTATAGTCCAGAAAAATGACAGTAGGACCTTTTAAGAGACGCTTTGAGTGCAGAACTACATAAAGACGACCATGCACAGTCAAAAATAGACTGAATCACACCTCTTGGGGCAGCTTTCTTTTCCCTGTGTACAGCATCTTCTCCAGGAAAAAGTATATTTACATAAGCCTTAAATCCTTGTGTTTTTGGGGCAGAATGTTCCTCCGTACGACATTCCCAAGAAAGAGAAAAGACCCAGAAGATGGCGCTCTAAAAACAACGGCAAAGAAGCCAAAGCCTCCCTACAGGTGAGTGGGGACTTGGCAACACTCTAGAATCTCTGTGGTTTAAAATGAGCCGGAGACAGGTCAAAATCTGCTCTTATTTTATTATTATTTGTTTAAAATGCCATGAATTTGTTTCGCTTTTGTCAGCCAATGACGTGTGCGTGTTTGTGTTGACGCGAGCTGGGAAAATTCTGAAAGGACTCCACTTGTGTAAATTAAATTAAGTGCCTCTGGGAATGTTCCGCTAACTGAATTCTCTGGTGGAATCTGCTGTTTCATTGCCAGATTGCAGATTTCCTGACCTGGTTTATGGTTCACGTCTCTGTTATTACTGGGCCTATCGAGATGAAACAGAAACTGCTGCGAAGTTCTGGGATCGGAAAGTGGGGCCATTGTTCAAAGCTTATTTAAAATTGAGATTAATCTTGCAAATCTTTCAAAAACATAAAATTGTAGAACGTGAACTAGGGAATCTATTGTCGGAAGAATTAACGATCCATTATCGATTAACTATTAACGTTTTTATATTAAAATGATCATCATTATTATTACTATCTGCACTACTAATCTGCATAAATAAATTCAACTTTACGACATATAAACCGTAACGACTCTAGAGCCACATCAGCCCGTTTGACATTATAATGTGTTTAATTCAGTTTTGCGCTGAAACTAAACTCACAGAAACAAAATTTAAAACCACATCACTAATTTGCATAAACTAAGTGAAGATAAAACTCCAGCTCTTGTGTCGCTGATGTGGTTCAACTTCTGTAGGATTAAAAGACATGACTCAGGTGAATACAGGTTAGTGTGACCAGATTTGCGTTTGTCAAAACCAGGACACCGTACGGGGGGAGGGGGGCGGGGCCTCGTCATCCACATTGAGCGACTCTCACCTGGAACAACTTTTTTCCGCTGGACACAGAAACATATGTGCTGCTTTATACACTGTGCACATGGACTCACACTTGTCCCGAACGCAACGGAAAGTGTGGAATTTCTTGTACAAATCATCGTTAAATCCACATTTGTGCTTCGGTTCGTTACAGACTGACCCACTGTTTGTGTCTCGCTCCTTCTGATGCAGAGACACATGTACACACCTGTTTGGTCACGATACACACAGCAACATACATTCGATTTGTCGATTAAAATTAACATAATCGATGAAATTCTTAATGATCAATTATCGATTAATCGATTAATCATGCCCATCCCTAACGTGAACACAGCCTATAAACGATTCTTTGCACGTCTGTAGTGATCTGTTCTTCGGCTCCTCCAGGTTCCCAGCTGTATCTCCTCCAAGTCTCCACGTCTCCACGCGTCCAACCCGAACCTGTCCTCCAGCGAGCCTCAGATCCAGGAGCCCGGCCCCGAGTCCCCCGACTCCCCCACCCCCGTGTCCAGACTCCAGGAGGACTTCTGCAGACTCGCCAACAACAGTCAGTATAACAGCAGGTGTACTCTGACGGCAGGTGCGGTGAGGTTCAGGACACGCGCAGGTCCCGAAAGGCAGAATCTGCAAGAAATAGATCTTTGCTGAACACCGCTGCAGTCTGACGTCAAACTCACAAAATCACATGAGCAAAACAGAAGATCAGACGCACAGAGCTAACAGATCTGGTGTTTTTTCTGAACAGAATGTCCCTGCACACTCCTGGTACTTTGCAAAACCCAGTGTAGATAGTCACAGTGTCCAAAAGCACGAGAAAGTGATCGTAGTGTGAAATGCCGCTGTTGTTTACCAGCAAGACTTTATGTTTAGTGTGACCAGACGTCCTTGTTTACCCGGGACAGTCCCAGTTCTGAACCCTGTGTCTCCTGTCCCAGCAGATTTATACAAAACCACTGATTTGTCCCAGTTTTATACAAGAAATGTCCCAAGTTTCCCTAAACTAAGACTAAACCAGGACTACATCAGATCTAAACCGGGACTAAAACAGAACTATCACAATTTTTGATTAATCTGAACTAAAATTTGCTTAATTTATCCAGGAAAACCCGCACGAGTCAAAGAATCTGTGAGCCGAACCTCGAAAGAATCGGCCATGAAAAGATCCTCGCAAATGTTAGAAAGAGCCGTTCGCAAAAAGTGATTAATTCTAGAAGACATAGTTGTGGATAAACAAGACAATAAAGAAAACATCAGTCCTACGACGAGTGACATGTTTATATGTGCACTGGAACATACAGTTTCTACTGCCACTCACACTGCAAATGTTTTCTTTTTACATTTTAGTTCAGTAAATGTGCTTCTCTCATTAAATAAGCTATGAAACAATTTAAACAGCAAATATCTTGATGAAAGTGACGTGAGTGTGTCTTGATGGTGCCACAGGAAATCATAGGAAATTCATGTTCTCTAGACATAATTCCATAAGTCTTTTTTTCGATAATTCCCTTGTTTGATCCCGATGAGTAATTTCCAGAGGAACAGTGAAGAAATGAATCGTTTTATCCCTTTCAGAGCGTCTAGAGCACAGGTGTCAAACATGCGGCCCGGGGGCCAGATCCGGCCCTCCAAGACCTTTAATCTGGCCCTCGGCTGATTTTCTACTAAAATATTTTAATTATATTTTCTATTAAAAATATTGTTAATTTTCTGTGGTGTTGATCACAGCAGCGTCTCCAGTGTCTCTGTACGTGGCCCCTCCCACCAGAGCAGCACAAATGAAGACTTGTCTCTTTCCAAACGCTCTTAAAGGACGATCGTTTTGACTGTTGACCGTGACACCCTCATCAGAAAAATGTCCAACATGAGAAAAGTGGAGCCGAGTGCAGGATTTTACAACAAAAAATTACTTATTCCTATTTATACAAGTTCATGTTAAAACATTGTGTTGAAATTGTACTTTTCTTAAATTTTCAGGTTGTTCATAATATTATAATATTTTGTAAAAGAAAGAGTTCATCAATTAAAAAAAGATTTCTGTAATAGATTTGTGTTTCTCTGCACAAATATTTGAACTTATTGTTATTTTTGGGGTTTAAATGACATGAGTTTTCTGATCCGGCCCCTTTGGGATCAAAGTCGGTTGGATACGGCCCCCGGACCAAAATGAGTTTGACACCCCTGGTCTAGAACAACCAAATGCACAACAAAACCTGCCCATGTTTCTCCGATGCTGCTGAAGTCAGTGACATATCGTGCCCGGGGTCATGGCGGCGTAGTTACCGTTGCTATAGGGTCACGTGACGGTGCAAAGCCTCTATAGGCCGTTTAAATTCAGTAAAATGGAGAACTTTGTGTTGTACATTTGTTTTATTGTGATACTAATAACAACAGCCACTATTGCAGTATCTATGTTTTTGTGAAGCTCTATTGTATAATCGCTTAACCTCCCAGTGACCGCTCTATGTCGAAAATAAAAATACTACAAAAAATCCTGCAAAAACTCTTAGCATTAGTAGTTTTAGTGAAATATAACCAGCTGTAAAGTCCACGTCTCCTCTGTCGTGTTCTGCTGTTCGTGTAAAAAAGGCGCCGGTCTCTCAGTTTCCATGACGACCGCGCTCTTGTGTCTCGCGCAGTTTACTCCAACCTGAAGTCGGCGTACACCTCCCTGTCGTCGGAGAAGGAGCGTCTGAGGCACACCATCGACCTGCAGGCCCCGCCCCCTCCGCAGGTCATCGGGCTCAAGACGGCCTACGCGTCTGTGAGTGGACTTTACCGCAACAACATGAAACGAAATACAGAAATGCGTTTGTCGTTGGTTAAAGGTTCCGTCAAAATAGGAGATAAATATATAAATGTGTCTTGTTTTGTCTTGTTTTGTCTCGTGCAGGAGTGTGCGGGCAGCCCTCACTCGCTCGTGCACCAGGCCTCCAACGAGAGCAGAGTCTCCATCCCAGACTCCATCTCTGAGTTCTTCGACGCTCAGGAGTATCTGCTGTCCTCCTCCTCTTCGGAAAATGAGGTCAGAGATAAAAAAACAAACAAAAAACGTCTGCATGTAACTGTGTGAACTGTAGAGTAGGTTTCTGTTTTGATACCAACTCCAATAACACGATGATAATAAAAAACACATTTGATTTAGACAATAGAACGACATTTTCCAGATTAAATCATAGAACTTTCTTTTCTATTCCCATGTGGCTTTATATCTGTGTAAACCAGGTCTAAACCAGGTCTAAACCAGGTCTAAACCAGGTCTAAACCAAGTCTAAACCAGGTCTAAACCAGGTCTAAACCAGGTCTAAACCAGGTCTAAACCAGTCTAAACCAAGTCTAAAATAAACCTAAACCAAGTCTAAACCAGGTCTAAACCAGATCCATGGGCGAAAATTAGTGTCTGTGTGCTCTTATACTTGTTCTGATCGCGTTTGGACTCGGTCTCGTCTCTCACTCGAGGTCTGACACTCAACAAGTGTGATCATATTTCATTCCGGCCGCTGCTGTTGGTAATAAACTTGTAGCGGGTGCAGGAGCGTGTGGGGCGTCTCAGTGCAGCCTGTGCGCTCATTTGAAACCCGCGGAGACTCTACGGCGCATCACAAACACACACGCTCCCTATGCACGGCTCGTCTGCGACAGCGTGTGCCCTCGTGTACCAGCGTGCATCACAGGGCAGGTTCAACTTCCTAAACATCCTACCTGTCCACCTGCCTCACGTCAGCACGCCGCCCCTCGCCTTTTCACGCTCTCGCTCCTTCCTGCGTACAGCGAACACAAGCCCCTCCCACAGTGCGGCTGATTAGAAGAGCAAGACCAAACGTGAAGCAAAAACCAGTCTAAATTTATGTTCCAGTGTTGGCACAAAGCAGGTCTACAGCATAGAGCGGATCTACAGAACAGACCTACTGCCACATTTGGCTGAAGTTTGGTTTGGTAAACGTGCAGAGGCTGGTAAATATCACTGCAAAACCAGAAAAGAATGTAACTCCAGTTTGGAACTTTAAAAAACAGGTTTAAAAATCTTCCTTCACTTTTTTCACAGTTTTGTGTAAAGTGCCAGAGGAAGTTCTCTTAAAGAAGAGGTTCTCAAACTGTGGGGGAGGGTCCAAAAAAGGGGCACAGAGTGTTTCAGTGCAGTTTGTTTGGCTTTGTATTAGGTAGATCATTATGACTTGGTCATTTTGTAAGTAGCTCACATGATGAAAAAGTGTGAACACCCCTGGTTTATATGATCGAGGAATAAATTAATTCGGTGTTAAAATTTGAAAAAAAAACACCCACTTACTTCGGAATTAAGTTGAATTCCGAATAATCATTTTCATTAGGAATTAAGTGTTTACATGGTCTTTTTAAAGCGGAATTTATTTTTATACAGGATGAGATTATTTTTATTTGGAATTAAAGCTCTGATGTAAACAAATATAACAGATCCAAATATTATAGAGAATAATCTGTCGCCTTTAAAGTGTGATTTCCAGTGAGTGAGTCCTGTAGTCCTGCATGTACAGTAAGTGCGTGACCTTTCCTGTTTGTCGGCAGGTGTCGGACGATGACTCCTACATCAGTGACGTCAGCGACACCGTCTCCATGGATACGTGCGACGGCGCCACCCACAGGCAGTACTCCGGTCAGTCTGACTCCCAGCCCACTCCACCCACCCAACCCACACGCCAGCGCTGCCTCAGGACACAAAATCTGTCTTTTTTTAAGCAATGTTGTCATGTTTAACACAAAATAACAGGAATTTCTTTATGTTGCCATGTGGTTTTAATCATTCAAAAGGTCAAATTTCATCCTGTGTAATCTGTATTTCTTATTTGATGGTAGTATTATTTTTTTGTCATTCACCTTTTATTGGATTTTTGTTGACACACATTAAAAATAGACATAATCCAAACAGAAACAACTAAACAAAACAAAACAAAACAGTGGGAGTAGGTTTACAGACAGAACTACGTCAAACAAAGTCGGGTCTTTTTGTCGATACTTCAACTATTTATATCGGAGAGTTTCAAATATCTCACTCTCTCGCGTCATCTTAAAAGTAATCCTCCTTTCCAGTTTAAAAATAATAATAAACCAAGTCAATCCAGTCATTTATTGTAGGCGTTTCCTGACATTTTCGAGTTACAGTGTCCCTCGTTTATCGCGGGAGTTACGTTCTAAAAATAAACCTCAGTAGGTGAAGTAGTCCACTTTATTTTTTACAATTATTCTATCTGTTTTAAGGCTGTAAAACCCCTCACCACAAACTTTATTCACTTTTCTCACCCAGGACAGTTACAACCCTTTTTCCATCCTTCTTAAAACTTATCGCTGCTGTCGTCCTTTTGTTATTTTCCTCCTTCTTTATGTAACAAACCCAAGATTCATTTATTCCGTAATGAAGCCCTACAGCTGTGTAACTTCTACCTTCCTTTAGCGTGTCCACAAGTCCAACTTTTTGCGCGATGGTTACACCTTCCTCTGTCTTTTGGTTGCGAGCGCAGGAGACTTTGTCGGTGCAGAACGTTTCGTCGACATTGTGGATTTTGTCGGGGAGAAAACTCGCAAAAATACAGCACTTCAGAATCACACTGATGCGCGGAGGAGAGTGATTGACAATGATCTACAGTCCCTTATCCAATCAGGACGCAGGGGGAGGAACACAATACAAAAAAAAAAAAAAAAGTAAAATTGCACAAAAAATCTGCAAAACGGCGAGACCGCGAAAGGCGACCGTGTTATAGCATTTTTCCAAACTAAGTATCAGTTTTCTTTTGAGAGGTGCAACAAAACTAAGTCTCCAAAAGACATTATATTCAAATTTTATTGTACAGTATCTTTTAAAGAGCACCTCCAGAACCCCATGAACTCGTCTTAGTATTGATTTGTATCTGTATCGTATCGTGAGATTTGTATCGTTTCATCCATACATTGATTAGTATCTGATTTCCAATAATTTTGACAACCTGAAAAAGGAAATTGAACTAAAAAGTTGAATCTGTATTTATATAAAAAACATGGCTTACTTTGTAAACAACATTACTTGTTTCTCTATAAAGAGTTGTTTCCCCGCAGGTGGAGTCGTGTGAGTGCAGTTTGGGTCAGATACACAGATACAAGAGCAAATATTTATAGAAAATATTGACGGTCCTGACGACGGTAGCTCACATTCTAGTAACATGGTTTGTCAGGTCATAAATTCCCAGTGTTGGGGAGTAACAGATTACATGTACCTGAGTTATGTAATCAGAGTACAAATGATGAGTAACTGTATTCAGTTACAGTTACTGTTTCAGTGAGTGGTAATTGGATTACAGTTACTTTGTTGAAATAAATGGATTACACAGAGGGATTTTTACTGTTTTCACTTTTTGGGCTAAATCCCTTTTTTTTCCCGGTAATTCCACTCATTGCCAGACACTAAACCAGGACTAAAACCAGGTCTAAAACCAGGTCTAAACCAGGACTAAACCAGGATTAAAGCAGGTCTAAAACCAAGTCTAAAACCAGGACTAAAACCAGGACTAAAATAGGACTAAATCAGGACTAAAACAGGATTTAACAGGACTATGCTGTGTGGACCGTGTCTCCTCTTCTATCAATAATATTTTTAATTTGGTTCAGTAAAATCTGGATTTTTTATTTTCTTTTATCAGACAAAACATCTTATGTGAAGATTTCCTCGTCTTTTTTTCTCTACAGTAAATCAAGTAATCCAAAGTATTCAGATTACATTACTCACTTTCAGTAATTTAATGGATTATGTTACAAACTACATTTTGGTGTGTGTAATCTGTAATCTGTAGGGGATTACATTTTAAAAGTCACCTTCCCAACACTGTAAATTCCCTGATTTATGGCAGCAAGTGTCCGAAATATGGGGGGTGCTGCGGGCATGTCCCACCGGGAGGAGGCCCCGGGGAAGACCCAGGACACGCTGGAGGGACTATGTCTCTGGGCTGGCCTGGGAACGCCTTGGGGTCCCTCTGGTGGATCTGGAGGAAGTGTCTGGGGTGAAGGAAGTCTAGGAGTCCCTGTTTAGACTGATGCCCCCGCGACCCGGCCCCAGATAAGCGGAAGAAAATGGATGGATTGATGCCCCCCCTAAATAACCCACCACACCCCCTAAAAAGCCCCCTAAAAAAAAAAAAAAAAAGTCCAGACACCATCTCATAACTAAGACGCCCCGGCTTGTGTCTTAATACAAAATTAAAGGTTGTATGGAGGATTTTTTTTTTTGTTTCAAATTGTCAGTGAAAGTTTAAAATACCATTATAGAGACGCAGCAGTTTTGTAATTATGATGACCAAAAAAAAAAAAGAAAAAGAAAATCTATCAATTGTGGATGTAGTGAGGCCAGATAAACATCAGCCAATAGAAAACAAGGCTCCCTCATTTTCTATTGGCTGTTAGGTTGTCCATCAAACTCCCTACGTTTCTAGTGTAACAGACTCGTCGGCGCGCGGGGATTACGTGGTTTATGCAGCGGTTCTTAGAGGCTTTTTCAAACTGTCGCTTCCTCGCAATTCACGCAAAGTTTGTCTAAAAAGGGTCTAAAAACTGATGCGTCGGTCGCTAAATTATCATTATTATTATTATCGAGAGTAAAGAGGCGGGAGGAGGTGTTTCTACCGAGGCTGTGGAGGAGGAAGGCGGTGTCACGCGTGCACAACATTTGAAAAAGGACGGTCGCTGTATTTCTCTTCCCTTAAAAAAATCCTCTATGCAACCTTTAAAGGAACGACTCGAAAATGTGCTGATTTTACCATGGCGGTCTGTCGGCGGTCTGTCGGCGGTCTGTTCGTGGTCTATCGGCGGTCTGTCGGCGGTCTGTGTCTGTCGGCGGTCTGTCGGCGGTCTGTCGGCGGTCTGTCGGCGGTCTGTCGGCGTCTGTTCGTGTCTATCGGCGGTCTGTCGGCGGTCTGTTCGTGGTCTATCGGCGGTCTATCGGTGTCGGCGGTCTGTCGGCGGTCGGCGGTCTGTTCGTGGTCTATCGGCGGTCTGTCGGCGGTCTGTCGGCGTCTGTCTGTCGGCGGGTCTGTCGGCGGTCTGTCGGCGGTCTCGGTCTGTCGCGGTCTGTCGCGGTCTGTCGGCGGTCTGTCGGCGGTCTGCGGTCTGTCGGCGGTCTGTCGGCGGTCTGTTCGGTCTGGCGGTCGGTCGGCGGTCTGTCGGCGGTCTGTCGGCGGTCTGTCGGCGGTCTGTCGGCGGTCTGTCGGTCTGTGTCGGCGGTCGGTCTGTCGGCGGTCTGTCGGCGGTCTGTTCGGCGGTCTGTCGGCGGTCTGGTGTCGGCGGTCTGTCGGCGGTCTGTCGGCGGTCTCTGTCGGTCTCGGTCGGCGGTCTGTCGGCGGTCTGTCGGCGGTCTGTCGGCGGTCTGTTCGTGGTCTATCGGCGGTCTGTTCTGTCGGCGGTCTGTCGGCGGTCTGTCGGCGGTTCGTGCGGTCTATCGGCGGTCTGTGTCGGCGGTCTGTTGTTCTATCGGCGGTCTCGTTCGGTCGGCGGTCTGTTGGCGGTCTGTCGGCGGTCTCGTTCGGCGGTCTGTCGGCGGTCTGTCGGCGGTCTGGTCTGGTCATCGTCTGTCGGCGGTCTGTCGGTCGGGGTCTGTCGGCGGTCTGTCGGCGGTCTGTCGCGGTCTGTTCGGCGGTCTCGGTCGTCGGCGGTCTGTCGGCGGTCTGTCGGCGGTCTGTCGGCGGTCTGTCGGCGGTCTGTTCGTGGTCTATCGGCGGTCGGCGGTCTGTCGGCGGTCTGGCGGTCGTCTGTCGGCGGTCTGTCGGCGGTCTCGGCGGTCGGCGGTCTGTCGGCGGTCTGTCGGTCTGGCGGTCTATCGGCGGTCGGCGGTCGGTCTGTTCGGCGGTCTGTCGGTCGGCGTCTGTCGGCGGTCTGTCGGCGGTCTGTCGGCGGTCTGT